AGTTGCAATTATAAATGTTTTTATAAAAATTAATAATTTTAAATTATTGATAATTTTTTTGCTTTAATGTTATACTACTTATAATATATATATGAAGGTCGTGTACTCATCTTTATGACATTCAATCGCTATACGATATAAAAAATATATTTGTTAAATTATTAGTTTAGTAACTTGCAGTATATTAGTAACTCGAGATAAGACCTATAGGCTATAACGCTTTGCCCTCGTGGTTCATGTGATGTCTACATTCCAAACTAATGACCCATAATATGGTGAGGTACGAATGTACGATGGCGATGGCATACGATTAAACTTAATAGTAATAGTAAACCAAATGTTGTTTGCATTTAATTCATAATATTGTTTTAAATATAATTATTTATTATCGTGTTGAAAATGAATGCGAGATAAGAATAATAAAAAAAAAAAAACAGTAAGAGGTTGCGTGGATAAGGAGCTACATTACCACATTACCACATTACCCCATTAGTAGCACTTAGCTTGGAAGTATAAGACATATTTCACAGGAAAATATGATGACAATAAATATTCATAATAAAAATAACAAAAGAAGCTTACATCAATATAAAAATAGTCACATTTCTAAGTGTGTTTTCTCTGTTAGTTTTACGGGACGAAAACTGGTCGGTATTTAATTCCGATGGTGTTATCGGATATTATGTATATATAGGTACAGTTGAATAATTTAGGATACGCGTGTCCATTAGGCACATACTCATATACTATACTTTTTATTGGATAATGAGTTTTCAATTGAGGAATTGTCATTCTATATATAAGTAAAATATAGTCATTAACGATAAGAAAAATACAAAAACGACTAGGCGTGGTTTTAAACAAAATATACAGAATGCATAAGTCGACAAAGAATAAAATAAATATACATTGAGTAAAATCGACTGGATAAAAGCCAAGAACTATGTATGTATATATACTAAAAGTACTATTATTTATACCTAAATCGTATAAATACAGTCGTCCACACCCACAGATTACCCATAGATTATCCAAACTCGACGACTAAAACATAGTTTATAGAATATACTTTCAAAATGAGTAAGTATTAAGCATTTTCAGTTTTGATTAAGATAGTATTCAGAGAGGAGTGGCACAGCTGCACAGGAGTACCTCGCAAAATGGAGTCCGCTGCTCCACTCATCTAATCTTAAAAGTTGAAATACTTATAACTTGTAAGTTATAATTTTAAGTATTAAATTAAAAATGTTAAATTCTAAATTCTAATGACTATAATGATTTCAAAAAATTATCTAAAATTTAAAATCGACATCCTGAAGAGCCTGTATACTTTGAGTGAAACGGGCTATTTATGAAAATTTATGGTAAGACATTATCTGTGTATGGATTATTTATGACCGTTGAGAGTTTACTAGTTTTATAAAACGGAAAATTCCAAACATTTGTAGGTAACTGGCAATCAAACTTTACTTAACGCCGAATAACTCACCACTTGCTTATAATAATAATATTTTCTTTATTACGGAAATAAATTCCAATAACAGTTTTTTTTGTATAATACCTACCTAATATGTATAGGTATTATATCCGTACAATATCAGTAATTTATATATAACAATAATGATAATATTAATCAATCATTATCATTATTAACATCATTAAGTTTTCGTTCCAGTGTATTGTGGGTAAAAATTACTGTATAATTATTGATATAAATTTAACGTTGACTTTGTACAACGCGACCGGCTACACATACGTGCGATCGCGATGACGGTATGAACACGACTAATATTTATGATTCGACCTTTAGGGTTTGAATGGTTAGACGCAAAAGGGTGAAATATTAATATTATAATATAGAAACCTCAATAATCATCATATCTGTTTTATGAACGGGTAGCATATGGAAATGGAGCATTTCGAATCTGCGATCGAGGGAAACTGGAGTAACAATACCTCAAAAACATAATTATTACCTCAGTCCATTCTGAGTAAGATCAATATATTTAATAAACACGTAGGTAGTTTTTATCAAAAAATCTAATAATACGAAAAATATATTTTATATATACGTATTCATCAATTTCATTATACTGTATAAGACTACATAAAATATTTATAACATAGTATATAAACATTAAAATGAACAATGAATACTACATACATCGCAGGTACCATTTAAACGCAACAATTGATATTTTTTTTCTTTTTTCAGTGTGAAAAAAATTAATATATCATCACACTACGCATTATACCTACCTATAAGCTAGATTCAAGTTTTTTGCTTCATTAAAATGTCGACAATTTACATACTTACTACAGACATTACACTAATTCATTCGTGGAGTTTGAGTTTATTTTCTAACATCCTGTTTTTGAAATTTTCTCCTGACTCCTGAGCATTTGTCACGTCGTTGTCCGAATTCAATTCAGTAGTGATTTTTTGGTACACTTTGTGTGTGCGTCTTAGATTAGTGTACAATAAAAAGTTCGAAATGACTTTCTTATAATTCATTTTTTTTAATGTTAGGCAATTGAGAAAACCTTTCAAGACCGTGGTAGCAATAATGGTAATAGATTATATTTCTTTGGTATAATTTTGTGCAAATCAGCTAACCAAGTAATAATATCACGTATATAATATTGAAAATGTATTTAAAAAAGTAATTATCACGTACAGAGATTAGTGACTCATGTATTAAAACATTTATTTGTTTAAAATGTATTATTCATAATTTATATTATAAATTAATAATTACAAAGACCCATCTTTGTTGGTAAAAGTCTATAAATATTTTATATTTTGTTTTGCTCTCTTGGTCTATAAAAATAATATTATTTAAGACGAGCCGAGTGGGACCAACGGAATGAAAAAAAAACATCGAACATTGAAAATATTGTACAATATAAAGGTTTATAAAGTATAAAATAATTCCTCAACAAAAGAATGCTGTAGAACCACAGTCCCGCTGACTATCTTCGTGACTTCATCTATAGACTCTTATATAATTAAATGGCGGTGAGAACGTAGGAAAAATGTATAAAAAAAGTCACCACAATAATATATAATATTATATTATATGCACCAATATAGGTACCGACAATTATGCACTCATCTTCCAGTTGAATCCTTAATAATACATCCAAAGCGTTTAAAAGTGAATGTATTCAGTCGAGAAAAAACAATGACGCAAAATACTATACACATGTGACCCGAAAACTAAATGTAAACCGATCGGTCGAAGGTTATTAATTACTTATAGTTATAAATATGATTATTTAACGAGATAATGAAAGTTGTTGAATAGCCGAGTGACATCGTAGATCCCATGTTTAAGTGTAAAAGTAGTTTGATTTACACACTAATTTTATAACTTACGATAGTATTTCAGAATTTGTTTTTCATGATCCTAAGTATATTTATGTGCTTAAGACAATTGTGTGATTTAAAATGTAATGTATCTGGTTATTGTATACATATTATAAGTTAAAATTATTAAGTTCACGACTCGCGTTGTATTACCTACCGTATAAACAAATTTTTACTAAATTTACTTTAATATTTTTTCTACTATAAAAAAAAACTAGGAAGTATATCAAAACAATAATCACACCTGTGTAATAAACACAAAAAAACATTTAAGGTTACATTAAATAATTTATTTATTCGTTATAATTATATATGAATAATACACTATATATTTGAGTAAACTTGTAAAATGAATGTAGGTACCAGGTAAGCTCATACTTGGGTGTAAGAACACAAACGAATATAAAACATATTACTCAATACAATAGAATACGTATTAGCTAACCAAAATTCCTTATGGATTACATAACAATCTTTCCGAGACGTCCATAGACTAAAAAATGCCCACAATATATGGATACACAACATGAATACACGCACATGTGCAATTCACGTAACAAACGTGAACAATGAATTCTGACGTTACGTAATAATAAATGAGTGGGGATACAACAATCGCTAACTTATATAAACGCCACACACAGACAATAGACTCAGTACACGGCAGATCAACACAGATGACCACGTCGACGGCGCCTGCAGCAAAACCACACAACACCGACCAGTTTTTCTTTCGACAAGAAATTAAACTTTCTTCACAAAGTTAACTTACTATAATCTCGTTGGATCCAATACTAGGATATTGTAGTGTAAATCGTAAAGTGTTTATAACGTGCAACGACTTATACCAATCAGAGGCGTATTTATTCGAACGAGAGTCTACGACAAGAGGTAAGTGAATATACATATGTTTTACAATCGAAAACAAATTATCAATTCGGTACTCAACTAATCATATTCAGAAGTAGGATAAAAATTAAGATAGCTATAAATAGTTACACCCATTATAATCTGCCCCCTTGCTGCGCATTTTCCCTACTCTCCAGCACCTACTCACCATCGCACAAAACATATATAAACAATTTTGTGGAACGTATTATGTGCTCATATCGATACTACATTGTTATAGGAATTTTCGATAGGGACCAAAAATCTGTTATGAAAATAGTTGAACAAGGAGTAATGTGTGATGTAGTGCATTGTTTGTTGTGTTCTGGTCCATAGTGGAAAGCAGATATTCTGTCGCTTAATTATTTTAAGGAAAAAAGTATTAATTCTTTTAAGTTGCATTTTAAACTAAGACTCTTAATGTATTTAACACAGCCTTCCAACAAATCTTGAATAATATATACATCATAATAATCAAATTCAAATATAATGTAATATTAATAAAATTAATTACATTTTTTAAATATATATTAAATTGAATAAAATATTTTGTATTTTTCGACTTTTTGTCCAACTTTTTTCAAAATTTACTTTTAAACAGATTACCTTGTTATACATATTATTATATAACGTGTATGTATTGTATGTTTACAGACGATCAACAGACACATTGCGAGTCGTACGAATACCAGGCGTACCTCTTGGGACATTTACACAACTTGTGCTGTACGTGCCAATAAAAATGAAATCAATAAATTCTGTGTTTGTTTACATATCGTTAACAATTGCGTTATGTTCACGCAATGTTTCCACGTACTGCGGAAATGATGAACAGATCGAAGATCTACAAACGGCGTTAATTACACAGGAATCCATTTACACGGCATTGACAACACTAAGCGCACTACCGGTAACCGGTGCGACGTTAGGGTTCGCGCAAGTGATGCTGTCCGCTCGGTTTACTTTGCATTTGCAAGAAGCATTTGATGAAATGGAGAGTTCATTGAATAAGGATCATGAAGACTACAGAAAGTGTTCAGAAATCTTGGAATTGTCAAAAACAGCAACCACAGTCATGAAGTCAACTAGTTTTGGGTTCTCTCTGACTTCACTGATACCGGGTATCGGTTTGGCATTTTTGATTCCGAGGTTATATACATCGATATCTGCTATGGTAATTATAAGACAAAGATTAGGATCTTGGCAAAATGAAGGTTGCAAAAATGCTACAACAAGAGATTGTAATTTATAGGTGAATCAGTAAATGTATATTAATAATATGATTTAAATATGATTTAATTGTAAACGATAATAATACCTATGTATTGGTCTTATAGTAAAATAAATATTCTAAATTATACCGTATTATGTTTGATTTCATTTATTAAATAACTATCTGTTAGAAGTTGATGGATCTATTTTTTGCGTTTATATTTTTATCTAGTTAATGTATAAATGTACTATTTGTAGGCAGTTGTGACCAAATTGGTTACTACGAGTAATAACTTAAACACAAGTAGATATTGTATATAATAGTTTTATTTACACAGTTTTTAAACACAGACCTTTAATATGAGTAATAAGACTATTTAACTAAGTATAATTATGTAAAAGAGTTATAAGAGTGCTACCGTTAATCCTTGTTACAAAGTCATTAACTTATGAGCTACCTAACTAACTGATCAGATTTCCCTTTTATATCCAAAGGTGGTGTGATTTGCTTATGTGCAAAATTAGCATTATGGTGTAGTAAGCAAGTTACTACGTAATAATACCAATTTCATGAGTGCATAGTTATTATAATATACGATAGACCGGCATAACCAGATATTAAGGACATTAGGGTTCAAAAGTAGGCGGTTGTAATATTTTACAGAAACACTGAGCACACACAACGAAATCCAAATATAAGAGAGTAAGGTGGTTATTTTATAATAATCATAGGGACACGCTGAGTGCACACTTGCCAAGTTCAAAAGGAAAAGTGTAAAATGATTATTTTAATAGTAATCATATTTTGGTAATGCGTTCAGTCGTAAATGCGTAGGCTGGAATAATGACCACGAAAATCACATCCGTGAGAGCCTTGATACAGTATCTATAGGCGAGGGGCACGGGGAACTTCATATATAAGTTAGCCCGAATAGGCCTGTTTTCAGACGTGTACTACCACCCATTGGAGCAAGCACCTTCACGCCACTCTGTATAACAATATTTGGACTTAGTAAAATTATTGAAGTGTAATAATAAAATTCACAATTATACAACAACTGTTTATATTATTTAATCATCAACCACGACTACATCATCAGAAAAAGTGTCTGCTACCTGCAACGTTAACGTACTGGTAGCCACTTGTCTATTATTTTTACTACAATTATAGTAGGCACCAAGCGTACCAGCACGTTACAATGATGTTATTTATATAATAAAAATATGTTAATTCCAATGGTCAGCATCATGTGAGAGACTCATAGTTGAGCTGATCATTACACAGTGTTGGGAAAAGATAACCATAATTCATTCAAAATTTATCTAGATTATAAGGTAAAATATAACCACATTTTTTTTTTTATCAAAATAAAAATACACATACAATACATTTATCTAGATACAAAAATAGATAATTTGTTTTTAAATTATATTATATATAATGTAATTTATTAGTATTTATTAATAAGGTAATTTGTATTAATTATTAAATCCTTAATGCCATTTCTCAACTAAAATAATATACAATTTTAATTTTTAATGCAACTTGAATAAAAATAAAATAAAAATACAAAACTAACAATATTTCAGTAAACATTTCTTTTTTTAACAATAATTATATTGGAATTCGGAATCACTACTAGGCTCTCAAAAAATATTGGCTATTTCAGTATTTAAAAATATTCTTATTATTATATTATTTATCTAGATAAATGACCACAGATAACCATTATATTTATCTATATGAGATAATTAGATGATTTAATTATTTTTATCTATATAAGATAATTAAAGAAATAATTTTATCTAGATAATTCAAAACACTGGTTTTGGTATATAGTATTACAATAGTCAGTACATAACGTATATCCGTGTTATCATTTCATATTAGTATATATACTATAAAGTCCAGATTTAGTGTCACGGCTTGGCTGAGAAACAGCTTGACCGATTTGCCTTATTTTTTTTTTTTTTTTTTTTTATAATTGTCAGGACAAGGTTTCCATGAAAATTTTCATGAATCTATAGTTATTCGTTTATGAATAACAACAAAATAAGGAAATCGCTACATGAGATATCGAGTGAACATCCGATGTTGTAAAATTTGAATTTGAAACGCTTATAAAAATTTAATTTGACTGTCCGATAGAGTTTTTTTTATTGATAAAGGTAGACAAACTTATGAGTAATCTTGTATTACATTTTCAAATCTTAGATTTAAAAAAAAATGTTTACGAATTCTTAACTCAAAATAATTTGCTAATTTTCGTGATTTTTCCATATTTTGTCAATTTTTGAACTTTAAATGCTTATAAAAAAAAACTGTGACCAACGATTTTTTATATTTTTCATCTGCCTTTGAAACAATATACTAGGAGCCTTCTATTAAATTTTCAAGTTTTTTTAACCAACGAATAAAATTTTATTGATATTTCTAGAAAAAAAACTAAAAAAAAAATGAAAAATGAAAATGTCCCTAAATAGTTCAAAATAAATCAAAATCTTTTGAAAATGTTATCGTGTATAGAAAATGCAAATATAAACAACCAGTGAAAATTTCATGAATCGATGTTCATTTGTTTTAAAGTTACACCAAAAACCAAATTCAATTTCCTGAAAAATCGATTTTGCGTAAAAATTCCCGTTTTTCCTTAATTTTTATGTGTTTATTATGTACGTCGGTTGTGAAAACTATGAGGAATTTTAAAATTTTACATCCCCAATGCACCAACTAGATTCACTTTCCAATCGAACAAGATACTGAAGTTGAACATCGAAGCATTCTTTTGACAACTTATCATGTACACAGACACAAAAAAAAAACAAACACATCATTGTAAAATCAATACATTCATCGTTCCACTCAGAATGTAAAACAGTAAGAGGTTGCGTGAATAAGGAGCTACATTACCACATTACCACATTAACCCATTAGTAGCACTTAGCTTGGAAGTATAAGACATATTTAACATTATAATATGATGACAATACATATTAATAATAAAAGTAACAAAAGAGGCTTACATCAATATAAAAATAGTCACGATCCAAAGTGTGTTTCCTGTGTTAGTTTTACGTTACCAAAACTGGTCGGTATTTGATTCCGATGGTATTATCGGCTATTATGTATGTAGCAAGGTACAGTAGTTGAATAATTTAGGATACGCGTGTCCATTAGGCACATACTAATATACTATACTTTTTATTGGATAATGAGTTTTCAATTGAGGAATTGTCATTCTATATATAATTAAAATATAGTCATTAACGATAAGAAAAATACAAAGAGCGTGATTTTAAACAAAATATACATGATGCATACGTCGACAAAGAATAAAATAAAATACATTGAGTAAAATCATCCGGATGAAACCCAAGAACTATATATGTAGGTACAATGTATATATACTATAAGTACTATTATTTATAAATCGTATAATTACAGGACCGTCGCATCGTCCACAAGCATATAGTTATATATTATCCAAACTCGACGACTAAAACATAGTTTATAGAATATACTTAACAGTAAAATAACGGTTGGATTACATTTCTTAAGTCCCTACCTACTTACGTACTATACGTCTAATATTAAGACGTTCGTGAGTACATGAAGTCATAAAATTAGTTGGTCTTAAATTTAGGGTGTCGTTTGTGTGGACAAAGAGTGGTTCTTCTAACTAATAAATTATTATTTGATTATATATTATTACTTTAAAAAGTTCATTAACAGCTACGAATAATTGTTCATATAATGATAAAGGAGAGAGAGGTGGGATATAAACTCAACCGAGAGTAGTACCCAGTAGTAGGCATCAAGATTAGTGCAACATCTCGATATTCTCTTCTCTGTTCTTACTGAGTGGTTTTCTTTCTGTCCCCTCAGTGTTGGGTGAAAACAGTAATTGTATTGCTATAATAGTGATAGTTTCGTTTTTTTCTTAATTTATAGTAAGTTTTGACTTGTATTTATACATGATGAATACAAAAAAAACTATACTTTTTAACATACTAGATACGTTTGTAGGATAGGGATTGCTCGAATGTTCTCTAAGTCCCGAAATATATAATGTCGTTAACGAAAATAATCTAAGTCCAAAAGAGAAAAATGGTGACTACTAAGAACGAAGAGGTACATGAGTGTGTAGTGTGTACGTACGGTGGATAGATCACGTCGGTCTGATGGGCTGCTCCCATCACTCCTATATGCTATAGTCCAGGGGCCTTCCATAATTAAATGGTTGACTATTTCGTAGTGCGAAAACTGACCTATGACTCAGGGCTGCAGATGTACCTTTGGTCGATGTGAGGTATCGTTCTAATAAGCGAGGATACCCACGAAATGTCTTGGCATATTGCCAAGATCTAATTCATAGAATCAACTATACTCCGAAGAGTTCTCAAAGATATCTTACAGGCTCGGGTTTTGTCATCCGGCCGTTGGCAGAAGATGCGGCTGTTGCTAACAATTACCTATAATATTGCTCTCCCAAGGATTTTGTTTAACGCTGACATTATCTCAACTCTCCATGTCTTACCGTAGTACAACTTGTACTGTGTAATATAACTATGTGTAGAGGCAGAGTAGAGGGGTCAGTAAGTTGCACGTTTCAGTTGTTTTTAAACATGAATAATCCAAAAAAAATATGTTAAATTTTAATTGTAAAGAAATTAGTTTTTTTTTTATTTATTATAATATACCTACTCTGAATGTTCTTGAATCTAAGAAATATTCTGGTTTGTTTTATGAGTCCAAGTAGAAAACTAAATTAATTTGAAGTCAAATAAAATGGAAGTTACAATTAAAATTACTTTGTAAAATATAATGACAGAAGCCTATATAATGGTAATGACACGCCGTTTTTCACAAGATAATATTATAATAATTTATTAAAATCACAGTAAGCTCCTAAAAAAATAACTTAGCTATTATTGTGTATAGAAAAATATATATTAGTATATATTATTATTATATTATCATATTGTGCTCACAAAACAGTTTCTTTTTTAATTATATTTTTGGATATATTTACGTTCAAT